ATGCCAGCTCTATTTCTCCAAATCTTTTCCTCCATTCATAAATCAAGGGGATGATCCAAACCACAAAATGTAATGGGGGGGACCCAAAACACAAAATGTAATAAATCATAAATCATTGGATGTCAACATTAGTGCAATATCACCATACTTTTAAATTTGTATGCCTGAATGCTTGTAAGAACACTTTTTTTTTTCTTTTTTTTTTCTTTTTTTTAAGGAAAACTTAATTAGTTTCAGGGACAGTTTAATTCTTCCTGTCAATGTAAAATGATCCTAGTTTTATAGCACCTGATGAGGTTATCACATTTGTTATTGAAGTACCCATCATTACATTTTTATCATTTTTATAGCCACTTTTTTATCTCAGTGCTTAATTGAGATAAAATTTAAACAGGAACCTTGCATGAAAGTCCTACTACGTTCTCTATGAGAACTCGGACTGGAATTGTTAAGCATTCTGCACTTTATGAATGATTTATTGTGAAACAAAAATATTCACAGCATACACGAAAGCTAACATGCTTTGCTTTGTTAGAGTCAGCCTTCTTTTCACACTTGTTTAAAATTAGCCTTTCATTGCAGGCCAGAAACACTGTACGGGATTTTTTTTCCCTCTTTCTAATACATCTTCTTTTTGATTTCAGCTTGGGGAAGAGCTGCCGCTGCCACATACCTTGTTGGCTTTATACTTCTAGTGATCTGCTTTGCTCTGGCCATCATAGCATTTGCCATTGATACACTTCGGTTCAACTTCATAAGAGGGATCGGTGGCTTGCTTTTTGTTGCTGGTAAGACAATATATGAAGTAAAAAGTTTACTAATACAAGCATATCCATAGCAGAACTGATATTTCTATCAGTTGGTTCTATACCCAGACCTAGTGTCTGGGTATGCACTTAACTCCCAGTTAATATAAGGTCTATCATGATAGTAGATCCATTTTAAAAACCTCCAAATTATGGATGGTGTTAACTATAAGTGTAATGGAGGCCAGGGATTAGCTTATTTTTTTTTCTCCTGTTTCTTCAGCTGTGTTCTCCATCATGGGCCTGGTCATTTATCCTGTAAAGTTCTCAACTGAGATTGAAATGACAGGAATCAATATGTTCAGCTGGGCATATGGCTTTGGCTGGACCACTGCTATTATGGAAATATGCTTGGGATTCTTCTTCTGCTGCCTTCCTAACTATGAAGATCAAATCTTGGGTAATGTGAAGCCAACATATTTTTACTCTTCCCCATAAACACCATGAAAAATGCATTTGTATTTCAGACATATTTGACAGATCATCTAAATTTCCCAGAATATCATCATCAGATGTTAGTAGAAAATGCTGCAAAATTTTAAAATGTATGTAGAAAAAAACTACTGGCAATTTACAATAAAGTTATCTATTCTATTCTGGACCTTCATATCTGAGGTGAGTTGCTTAGATTAAGTCTAAACATTTAATAAACTTGTATTTCTTCATTCATGTCCATTAATGAGGGTGTATATGGATTCTGTTACATATTGCATGCATCCAATTAAATTCAGAAAAGCTTTTTGAACCCTCAGGAAACCAAACAACACTTATCATCTTCCTGAAGCAAAGCAGCTCACAATAATCCTATTTCGTATATATTAGCTTAGGTTTTACTGAAGATTTTGCATGTTTTTTCAAGAGCCATATATATATTCATCCTTTGACTTCCATAGTAAATTAGGTAAATTAGCCAGCCATCATCTCATAGCTTTGCTTCCTTTTTTCATTCATTAATTTAAGATACAGGGATAAGGCAGAGAGGGATCCCCCAACTTTGCCCCAATAAAGTGAGCAATCCAACTGTTACCTGTCAATTTGGAATATAATTATTTATTTGGGAGTATTTGTAAGTGTAAACGAAAATCATCAGTAATCCAGGCCTCCCTAAAAATCCCAGCATGGCCTTACTGGGGCTAGCCTAGGCCAGGTTGAAGGAGAGGGGATTTCAAGCCATTCCTGCATGGCACAGATTTGGGCTGAAGAGGCTCCTGATGTGTCCTTCATGGGCATCGACTTTTTAATCCATTGTGTCAAAATCGGTGTTTTTAAAATCTTCCTTATCTTATTCTAGCTCTTTTATTCAGCATGAAAGGGTCAGGAAAGACTGAAACAGATTTATGATTCCCTTTGGACATCTAGGTATACAGCAAGAGTAGAAACAGGGAGCAGCTACAGGTAGAAGTCTGAATTTAGATAAGAAATATTTGTGTGATGGTCCTGTTTTCATTAGTCTGCTGTTTGAAAGTACTTCTTTAAGAGCAGAAAGTATATATTTAATATATACTTTAAAATGCACAGATATACCCTATCATCTCATATGAAGACTCTTACAACAAGAAGAAATCGCATGTTATAAAACACCTTTGGTATCTTATACTCCACACTATTGTAAACCTAACTATATTGTAAGCAATAAAGTATACTCAAGATCGTGCTGCTTTCTGCTTTGCATATACTAACTTTAAAATGTTCTATTTCTTCTGTTAGGTGAAAAAGGTGGATAATTCTCTTATGTATAAAAAAAAAAATCCATTGAAATAATTAGCTAGAAAGGCTTATTATCTTGTAACACATCCGCATTTTTTTCAATAATCTGTACTTTATGAAAATTGCCAAATGAAATGTTCTTTACTGCAAAGAATAGGGGGTGGTAAAGTAGTAAGCTTTAGGAAGCTTTGGATAGCTGAAATTAATAAAGATTAAAAATTAATAATTTAAATTAATTTAAATTAATAATTTAATCTTTTTTTTTACCCAGCAATTAGTTCCATTCACTTTTGGAGAGTCACTTTTAACTTTGATCAATAAACATGAAAGGTGTATCAGAACAATGATGTGGAGCGTTTACACACCAAAGAATAGCTAGACCAGAGCTTTCAAATACATTAAGGAGATATTTCCTATTTGGAAAAAAATGAAAGTAAAATAGATTTGGGGAAGTAGTGTATACATAAAATGGCTTTCAATTCATCATGTAACATTATCTATTCAGGAAGAGATCTATCACAAATCTTTTTATTATGCTTATTATAACTAATAAATGACAGTATGTATGTACTGTTTCACAAATGTGTCTTAGATTTGTTCTTTTTTTAGAACTCCAAGAACAGGGAAATGTGGAATTCTCTACCAAGGTGCCATTTTGGAGGTGCTTTGAGAAGGGAGAGTAACTTACAAATATATAACTTCAGAACAACTTATATTATTATTTAACTGTATCTTGATTGTATCCTATGGCCTTGTCCACACACACACATGAATCCTAAACTTCTGTCAAGCTGGGTTCAACTAACCATACACATGAGTCTGTACTGCAATGTATTACAGTTCATTTTGGCATGAAGGACAGTGGACTCATGCTCATCAAATAGTCCAGCGTGGTCCCGCTCCATACCTTTGCTCCAACAGATGTGGCAATCCCTTGGAGGAAGCAACAGGCAACTTGAGCAACCAATGATTACATTTCTTCAATATTAGCTTGACATTGACCCAGTGTAGGGGAAGATGCACAAAACAAGGCTAAGAAGCATGACGCCATCCTTGCTGAGACAGCAAAGCATAATGAAAAGAAAATCATTAGTGACAAGTAATCTCCCCTCCTTTCACCTCTTCCCTTGTTGGGCTCAGCAGTTTCACCTCCTCCTCCTCCTCCCTAAGGGAGGAAGAGCTGTGTCCCACAGGTCCCCCTCCTGGATGGCTGCAGCACGGTAGTACTCAGCCCTGCTCCGTGTTCCCTATTGCCATTTTCCCCTCCCAGGAAGAGGAATGGTGTTGCAAAGCCCAGGGGCAGCCACAAGAGAGCCAAGATCAGCTCTCCACTGTGGATGTGTCGTGCACCCTGCAAGAAAATGCTTTCTGTAAGAAACAGGTGAGTCAGGTGGGTATCCAACATGCAAATACCAGGATTCATGTACATGTATTTAGGGCAGTTTGTTTCCAGTAATGTCAGGTCAGTGCACCACAGATCCATAGAAAAATGCATTTTAAGCCCCATGCATGGAAAAAAAATGTAAGAAACAGAGAAATAGAGTATAAAGCCCTCTATTTTCCAGACACTGTTGTACAGATTCCAGTGCCACCTCCTTTGTCTGCCCTAATGGAAGAAACGTCCACTTGAGAGATCATAGCAAAAGATCATAGAGAGGACAATCACTTTGGCCCAAAAAATAAAAGTAATCTGAATCCAGGAGCAGAGGACATAGTTCGGCTGGATTGTCAGCTAATTGATTGTCAACTAAATTGTTAGATTAATCTTGAGTAAGTCAATGTAAGAATGTTTGTATTTTTGAACAAAGGAGAAATTAGAGGAAAGGAAGACATTCTTCAAGTTCCCTGTCTGCATCTGCATCTCTTAGGTGGGGATCTTTCTTAAAGAACTCTTATCTGTCAGGTAAAAGGGCAGCTAACTGCTGTATAGAGCTTTCTTATCATAAGTATTAATGATAGAGATCAGGAACAAACAGATGCCTGCAAGATCTAGCTTTTCAGAACATTAAGCCTATTATAACAAAAGAGGAAAATAAAGATGTTACTGCCAAGGGCATTGCTGGTCTTCCTGTTACATTTTCAAAATATTTACTGAAAACCATCCTCCAACAAAGGATGGTTTTATTTTATTTAATTCAACTAGATCATGGTAAAAGCAAGGCAGAATTGTTCTGAAAGCAAGTAGAATGTCAAGCAGCCTTTTAGGTGGAAACCAAAGCAAAAGAGATAATGAGGACTTTCGATCAGTAAGTTAATCTGTTCCATTTAATTTTTGGCACTTATACCAGTTTATGTAATGTGTGGATGTCTTGGTCCCTTCATATTTCTTTGCAAAAATGTCCATCTTTCACCATCCATCTTTCAGGCACCTGACTTTTGCTCTTAAAAATAGCCCATCTAAGCAATAATTCCAATGCAATAAAGATGGCAACTGTATTGAAGCAGTGCATATCTCGCTGTATGAACTAATGCCATGAGTGAAATTTTGACCCCGTTTACATCACTCACAAAACCAGTATTGATTTCCATGAGGCTGATATTTTATCCTTGAATGGCAAACACTTTTTCTACCTATGCTCAGAATTACTTGCATGTCGGTGAGTAGCTCCACTGACTTTAGCAGCTAAACTTCTGTAATAGGTCAGTGGTCTTTATAAGGTAAGGATGGGATGAGAAAAGATGGGATACTTCCCAAAATAAAGGATAACTCAATGTGTGAAAGACTGGCAGAATCTGGATCCTATTTAAATTATATTGTTAGATACACTATTGGGTCACAGTAAAAAGAGGATTTTTCCATTTGACACATTTCAACTGTGTAACAGTTATTATTTCTTATATTTTTTTAAATACTTGCATGTTTTTATATTCAGTGGACTTCTGTGTGCTCTGAAGATAATAGATCTAAGACAATAATGAAAAATACAAGCTTGTGGTAGGAGAGGAAAGAACTGGTCCATTTGTATACTTTGGCAAGAAACCAAAACCAAACAGACTTACTGGAATGATGTTGAATTTGAACTACCTAAGAATTAATTCAGAATTATATTTAAAAGTCAAATAAGAAAACCAAGAAATAAAGGACTCCTAAATGAGTAATCATGGGGATGGGGAGGATGAAGTTACATGTATCTTTCCTTATCTTTACACTCATTGTCAAAATACTGCTCCTGGTAGAAATTTTTGTTTCAAGAGCATTTGCTACTGTGGTGCAGCTGCACAGACTTGGTCTACAGTTTATCTGCAAATTCCCTGGTGGTAACTGCCAAGATTTTGAATAGCACATGGATATCTTCATGCTTGCAGATGGTTCTGCTGAGGCCAACAGAACTGGTTTTGTACTTGGTTTCTGAAGGGGCTTAAAGAGCAGAGTTCATATGCCTGTCTATACACACTGTTTAAATACCCAGATTGCCTGCAAATGAAATGATGTAGAAAACTTTTCCACTTTTTTACATCTTTTTTTTTTTTTTTTTTTTGTAATCAGAGCGAAAAAGGGGATGGATTGTAGGTTTTTTTTTTTTTGCATGTGACTTTTGGGAATGAGAAGAATTTATAGCAACAACCTTCAAAATATTTGTATTATTTATGATAAATGTGGTGAGATTAGATCAAAGTGTCCTCTCTTGGATGACTTTTTGATACATCTTTTTACAGATACCTTGCTATCTGTTCTTCTGAAAAAAAACATTCTGAGAAAACCTACTTTATTGATTTTAGTATATTTTTTAAAAAATATATATCCATGATAAATATACCAAAAGCCCCTTTAAATAACTTTTAATTACACATATAACATCTCTGTTGATTTAGGCAGAAGTAGGAATGTTGCCTGTAGGATTTTTCCACAGAACAGTGAAAAAACAACAGAAGCAGATTCACTCAGCTATTG